AGACGCTACTCACCAAGGTAGAATGTAGAACATTGTCTTTATAAACTGTGTTATGCCAATTGAGCTAGATGTTCCCCGAGACCATGGTTCCCACAGCCCTCCACCCAGCAATTCAGTCCCTCAGGGAGTTTGGAAGAGTCTATGGAGCTTCCATGACTTTCCTGGTACAAGTTGTACTGGCTTCCCCAGTATTGTGTACTGTTGTACCCTTCACCAAAGTTACCACTTATCTATTGTCTGTTTAGTTCCCCCCCACCCCTCCCATCCCTTGTAAACAACAAAGATTGTTTCTTTTTGTGTGTAAACTTTTACATGAGTTTTTACAGTAGAGGTCTCATACAGTATTTGTCCTTTTGTGATTGACTTATTTCACTCAGCATAACGCCTTCCAGTTTCATCCATGTTATGAGATGCTTCACAGATTGATCATTGTTCTTTATCTTTGCATAATACTCCATTGTGTGTATGTACCATGGTTTGTTTATCCATTCATCTGTTGATGGGCATCTAGGTTGTCTCCATCTTTTTCCTATGGTGAACAGTATCTGCATCACCTTTATCTTACAAGAGATGAAAGGGAAGCAAGCAGAGAGTTGGGGATCTCATTCCACCAAGAAAGCAGCATCGGGAGCCAAGCGCATCCTTTGGACCCAGGGTTCCTGCGTGGAGAAGCTCCCAGACCAAGGGAAGATTGATGACAAGGACCTTCCCCCAGAGCCAACAGAGAGAGGGAGCCTTTCCCTAGAGCTGGCGCCCTGAATTCGGACTTCTAGCCTACTAGACTGTGAGAGAATAAACTTCTCTTTGTTAAAGCATCCACTTGTGTTTCTGTTATAGCAGCACAAGATAACTAAGACAAACAGCTATAGTGTCATCGCATGATAAACACAATGCTTTGCCATTTAATTTGATAAAACAATCCGTGCTCCAGTGTGCCTTAAAAATATCCAAAGTGATAAGAATGCCACATATGGTCTCTGTCACTGAGTCAAAAATCAGCTTGATGGCACCTAACAACAAGGTATTAATCCTGGACTGGTGAAGATCTACACGTGCAGATAACTCTATTTATTATTGCTCTATTCACCTATGTATATCTTGTCTTTGGATAATCGCTCTCCCAATTTATACCCAATGCCCAAAGCAAATGAGCATGGCTATGTTTCAATCAAATTATATTTATGGACACATTGAAATTTGAATTTTATATAATCTTTAGATGTCACAAAATATTCTTTTGAATTTTTTCCCAACCGTTTAAAAATATAAAAACCATTTTCAGTTCGAGGACTGTACAATGGCAGCCAGCAAGCTATAGTTGACATGTGGGCCATGGTTTACCAACACCTGGCTTAGATGATTGACTTTTAATCCTTCTTTCTAATATAAGCATTTAAAGGCATAAGTTACCCTCTAAAGCCTACTTTAACTAATGATAGTACCTAAGTCATGGGATTGTGAAGATTAAACAAATTATATGTACAGTGCTTAGGATAGACCTGGCACATACTATATATTATATAAGGGCTAGGCATTTTTATTATTATTAATCTTTATTAATTTCTTATACACAAATGGCTTTGAATTTTATTTCTTAGAGTAGAATGATGTTCCTGGATTCTTTTTTTCGTCCTATCCAGCTACTGGTTCTCCAGATGGCCTAGGGAAACCTGGCTCTTGGGGCCAAGGGCCAAGGGCCAAGGTCCGGTCTCCAGGAAACATTGATTCTCTCTCCCTTGAGTTCCACCACCCAGGTGCCTCTGTCAAATAAAGTTGTTTTAGCTGCAGCTGCTGCTGAAGTAGCTTAAGAGAATGAGCCACATACTAAGGTCATTTCTGACCTAGACTCTTAGAATAGCTAACCCTCTAGAGTTTGTCCCTCCAATCTCTTCTTTAGTCCATTTTCCATGCTGCATACAGAATTTCTTTTTCTTTCTCAAACAGTTCTGATCATGTCATTGACCTGCTCAAGAGAATTTGATGCTTCCCCATTTATTTCAGGACAGAATCCAGAGCCAGAGAGTAGCCAGTCTTTACAGTCTCACTACCATGCTTGACCCTTTTTTTTACACTACTGCCACCCCAAATTACTTTCCATCACCCAAACAGAGCAGGCCTTTTCATGCCACCGAGCTGTTAGTTGTGCCTGTCTCTTGCCTGGAGGCTCTATCCAACCCCCACCCCGTCCTTCAAGAATTAGCTCAGATATAATTTCTGTGAAGCAGTCCCTGTCACTCTGAACCCCAAAGCACAAGTGATCATTTTGATAGCTGAGATTTGTTCATTCCCCTCACATAACACAAATCTTATAGTGTCACACATCTCATTTGTTCTTTCTCTCACTAGACCATGAACTCTGGAAGCAAGGATATGTCTTACTCACCTTTAGATCACAAGGGTGCATTCATTATTATATCCAACTAAGACTATATGTATCTATATATATATTCAGTGCTTCTTACACAGCAGTCACCATGCTGGGCATTGGGTATAAAATGGGAGAATGATTATGCAGAGACTAGGTACACAGAGGTGAATACATCAATAATAAATAAAGGTCCCATCATTTGTAGCTCTTCACCAGTGCAGGATTAAGCACAAAGCAGAAGTTAATACTAACAATCTGGTGATCTAGAGGCTGGTCCGTTCCCTTTGCTGCCATTTTTAAGTACCTTGCCCTTGTAGAAAAGGTTATATGAAGTGTAAACAAGCTAAACCCCAAGAACATTAGATGCTTCTTTGAGTCACCCAGAGGAGGAGGAGAAGCTGCAACCAGAGCTAGAACATGAAATCTCTGGAGAGCAAGGGCCTGATGAAGAGCACCAAGCACAAGCCTGCAAAAGGAGGGCGGGCTTGGTGTCCCCAGAGGGTAACAGCAGCAATGCTGTTTACTGAATAATTACTAAGTGCCAGCCATGTTGGTCTAGGGGGCTACTTTGATACCTCTTAACTTACTTCATTGGAAGATCAAGCTGATGGGGAAGGACAGCTAAAAACAGCACCCGAGAAGTGACACCTGCTGGACATTGATGAGGAATAGGAGGAAGATGAAGGCAGGAGAAGTCTGAATGGAGGACCTGCCTTTGTCTTCATCTCTCACATTCCTCTCCTCAGCCCTGGAGACAAACTTGCCACCACTTTCTCTCCCCCTTACCATATTTACACCTTCAATTTCTCTCCCCTGTCATTTCCAAAGTACCAGAATTGAGAACCCAAGGAATTTCAAAGAAAAGGCAGTTTCATATTAAGGATGACAGTAACACTGACTGAAGAACCAGACCCTGGGGGTGGAGATAGGCCCAGTTACGAATGGTGAACTCGTCAGGAATGAGATAGATGGGATCCAAAAAGTCCCCTTAGCTGTACAGAAGCAGTAGAGTCTTGAGTTCCTTAGGGCCTAGGAATTTCAGGCAACAGTTTTGGACCCCTCTACATCCATTTCTCCTCTCTCCCAGTTTTAGAAGTGTGTCCCAATACCTCCCTGAAGACTTATTCCTCTTGTTCTAGGAACTATATTTTCTGATTTCTTCTTGGTTGTTAAGGGCCCCTGCTGGGAACTGGGAGGAGTGAGTGATACAGGAAGAAGAACCCTGGACGCATCTCATTGGCCTGTTTCTTCTGATCATAGCATTAGAGAGGAAACTTTATGACACAGTGCTGTGTGGGCATTTGTACCAGTTTTAGAAGGCAACAGTTGCTTTCTTTCCCTGTTTTTCAGGCTGCAGTTACCCTCATGAGAAATGAAACCAAGTTCCTCTAGTTTTGATGCACGTTTAGAAAGAGGTTCTTTCATGGTAATAGATGTGTTTTATTTAGGTATTGCATTGCAATTAAAAAGGTAAAAACAGAAAACCTGCTGTGATTTGGTCTGACTTGCCAGTAAGTTCTAGTTTCCCAGTCCTCCATCTGAAATGTCAATTGTGTAAGAATCATTCTGGGGCCTCCTACTCAGAAATTTTGGATCCCTGGTGGCACAGTGGTTAAGAGTTTGGCTGCTAACCAAAAGGTCAGCAGGTCAAATCCACCAGCCACTCCTTGGAAACCCTATGGGACAGTTCTACTCTGTCCTATGGGGTCACTGTGAGTCAGAATTGACTTGACAGCAATGGGTTTTTAGGGGACCCAGAAATTGAGGTCCCTGGGTGGTGCAAACAGTTTGTACTTGGCTACTAACCTAAAGTTAGTGGCTCAAACCCGCCCAGTGGTGCCAAAGAAAAAAGGCCTGGCAACCTGCTTCCATAAAGATTACAGTCAAGAAAACCCCATGGAGCAGTTCTCTCTGTAACACACGGGATCGCCATGAGTTGGAATGGACTCAGTGGCAACAGGTTTGGATTTTTTTTGAATCAGAAATCATTGACTTTCCTGCCTTCCCACTAACCCCTTCTGCAGAAGATACAAAGGAGCTTTTCCTGAGCTAAGTTTAGGCCTAAGGAAAATCCTTAGGGTGACAGGGATATGGGCCAAGAAAAGTAGAAGTCATAAAGGGAGAAAGCTGGTTTGTCAGCCGGGGGCAAATGTGAAGAGGACAAAGTCTGGGCCTAAAAGAGATGGATAAATATTTGTGAATGTTATGTCATTCACTGTTCTCGGAAGGCACCAGCTTTTTCGGCTGGGGTAAAAAGGTGAGATCCAGAAAACAGCCTTCCAGAGTAGAGAAGCATCCAGGCAAAGGACATGTTTGGACCATCTCATTGCTTTGGCTTGTTTCTTTTCTGAACAGGTGAGGATTTTCTGTAGCTTTTAAGGATAATTGAAGTTTCCAAAGGCTAAGGCACTTCCTTGCTCTGACCAGTCTTAGTGTCTCTTTGTCCTGAGCCTTTCCCTGCTTCCTAACCTGCACTGCTTCTTTCCAGCAGCCTATTCCTGCTGTTCCACCATGATGCATGCTGTGCTGCTCTGCTGTGTCTTGCTATTGCCAGTGGCTGCCTTTCCAAGAAATGCCCAGAATGGGGCCCTAACTTTCCAGCCATCTTTCCCAGAGCTGGGCCTCCACCAAACATGCTCTCTAGCCAGGTCCCTCTCCCAGATGCCAGGTCTTGCCAGGATCTCTTGCTCAAAGCCCCCTCTCTAGGCCCTTTGCCTGAGTACCTATCCAACTTAGCTCTGACGGTGGCCCTGGAGGAGGTTGGCTGCCAAACTGAGGCCCACCTTCTGCAGCTTCAGCAATTTAGGATGGAAGGAAAGGACGTCACTGAAACCCTCATCCATAAGATTCAAAAGCTCAATGAAGCGGTAGGGATTGACAATGCTAAGCTTATTCTGAGGCATTTGGGGGGATCCGCAAGGGAGTTTGGGCGGGCCTGGCACTCAGTTAACCTTTCTGAGGCATGTACCCATGGACATAGGAGGCTGCTCCACGATACAGCAGTACTGATTGTTGAATTTGCTGAGAAACTCCCTGCCACTGAGCTGATAACAGAGTTCAAGACTTCTGCCATCAATTTCACCTAGAACTGCACAGACGAAGCTTGGGAGCGTGTGGAAGCAGTAAGCAAACAACCGATGAAAAGCCCTGAAATTAAGAACTTATCGATGTCTGTAGAAGATCAACTATACTTTGTTATTCGTTATATAGCCCTTCTGAAGAGCTTTTTGGTGGAATTAATACAGAATTTTTTCCAGGCTTATTTTGGATAGGGAAGGCCTCCTAGGCATCAAATTTCCTTTCTCAGATGTCTCTTAATAGGACTATGCACAGTACTGGGCACAGTAGGTAGGTAGAAATGTTGGGGACAGCTTAGGATCTATGTATGCTCTTCATTTGATCCCAATGCTAAGATGCATGTGACCCTAGTCAGCCGTGCCCCTTTCTTAGTAGGTCCTAGCCCCCACTTCTCCCAATTTCTCTTTCTTCCTTTTAAAAGTCATCAAATAGTGTGCGTCTATTATGTACTAGGCATGAAGGGTGTTGTAAATTTTCCCATTCATCTACCTTATACTTCCTAATTTCCCAACCAGATGCTGCAGCTTGCTCATGTTAATTTTTAAACTAAATAAGGAGATAAAAAGATGCTTCTTACAACCCTTTCATGACTCGTGGAACATACAGTATCCCACCCACTTTTTATGCCTGTGGAGTTCTTTGAGAGTATCCTTTTCCTGCTCCAAGTACTTGCTTCCCTCCAGTAGGGACTTGTGTAACAGTAAAAGGCAAAAGAAATGTTTGTTGAAGCAAAATAGCTGGGGTATTAGGCAAAACCAGAGGTGCCCCATGTACCCAAGTGAAAGGGGCTCCACAATAAAGCATGCTACCCAAGACTGGAGAGCTAGACAGGTACCCATTAATAATATATTTTCCAGTATTTTCACATAATATTTCTCAAAATCTATATTACCAACCAAAAATTTAAACATACTCAGTGACTCAGCATGCATTCCACTACTGAAAACACATAGTATCAACCAAAAATTCAAAGCAGTAAATAATTGAGTCTTGAAAGGGTTAAATCTGAATCACAGTTATCTGTGATCTCTCTTGACTCTGAGTCTCCTTGGTTCCTTTCCCGATCTAAGAGAGGGAATGTGGCAGGGATACACAGGAAATCCCAACATTTTTGGTGTGTGACAAGGGGACAAGGTTTGAATCAGCCAGTACAATTGGGCAAATATTTCCAGAAGTCATATTCGTTACTGATCATAGAGGAAAGCAACCATCTTTGCTCCTCCTAGGATGAGAATGGGACAGAGTAGGTCTTGACCTACCAGAGCAGTCTCACTCCTCACTGACTGGACTGAGGTAATTCGGGTCCCCTTAACTGCATGGATGTGAAGCAGAGTAAGTCCCTGGTGATCTGGAACAGCAGAAGCCAAGAAGAGCAGTGGAGTCCTGTTCCCATATCCTGGGCCCTAACCTAAAAGCATCTGTAAGTTGTATGAACAGTTAACATGCTCGACTGCTAATCAAACAGTTGGAGGTTCGAGTCCACCCAGAGGCACTTCAGAAGTAAGGCCTGGTGATCTACTTCCAAAATATTAGCCATTGAAAACGCTGTGGAGCACAGTTCTGCACTGACACACATAGGGTCGCCATGAGTCAGAGTTGACTTGACAGCAACTGGTCGGTTTGGTAACCTAAAAGCAACAGAAGCTGGGAGTTGATGGGCAATATGTCCTCTGACTGAGCCATGGGCTCCTTTCAGACCATAGCGCTAGGGAAACAGTTTGTGCGTTGTCTTCCATTCTAGCATAGTCTGATGCAGCTAGGGATCACCTGAGACCCATCATGACCTGCTCCTTTACTGCTTCCTGCTGCAGCTGCCATTTCATGTGGAACCCAGTAAATATCATGATGCCCCTTCCCTGGTCTCTGGGGTCCCAGCCACCCTCTGCAGACTTCTGGTTTTGCCAGACCCTGCTCCCACAGTCCCTGCCAGGCTTCACCCACATGGCCCTCTACCTGGATCCTGGTAGGTCTGGCACTGATGAATACCCTGGAGGAGGTTGACTGACAGCCTGATGCCTGGATCCTCAACCTTTAAGCTCTATAGTCTGAGGGATACAAAAGCCATCTAGGTTTTCTTTGATAAGATGCAAGGTGTTGCAAGGATAGCAACTCAGGGAGGGGCTTCCCAGGGGAAGCCCTGATCTTTGCTCTGGCAGAGTTCAGCCAGATCCAGAGAGAATAAGGCATGTCCTCTCCAGTGTAGACTGTGGATATGAGCAGGAGCAGCATGTGTACAGAGTGGTCCAGCTGTTTCCAGGAGTGGGATCTACTGCAAATAAAGGCACAGCTTTGTATTACACTGCTTAGAACTGCTCTGGCAAACCCAAGGAACGAGGCCGATATGGGACCATAGATTTGGGCTATGACCTTCTGATGGCCATGCCAAGACTGTTGGGGGACCCATGGGCTACCAGTGAGCTGTTGGGGGATCCATGGGCTACTGGTAAGCTCTGTGCTTAAATTAAATCTGCAGTGAAGGCTGGGGTTCAGCAGCTCATCCAATATTACTGTGAGAGGAGGCAAACATGTCTTTGCTGGAGACCAGTGGAGGAGGGCTTGGGGCACCACAGATGTGAGCTGCCCAGGAGTGACAAACAATATCCATGGCCTCAGAGGGCAAGACTTCAGAAGAAGTGAACTCAACTCTCTCCTTATTGTGGGCCTTATTCAAGGACCACGACTTAGATACTTTTTCCCAAGAGTCTTGTGCTTTATAAAAAGAGACTAGGCCCAGAAGGAATATATACTAATCCTGTTTGTTTTCTTTTTAAACAGAAGAAATTTATTCAAAATCCTAGTACAGATGGCTAGCTGCCTTCTATAACGTGAACGGCAAGAAAGAGGTCTACAGAAAAGGTACAAAGTTTGTTATAAAATCGTTTAATTCGGTTCCCGGGCATTATAGCCGCTGGGCGGCCCTGGAACGTGCAGTGGCAGCGGTCCGTCCGAGGTTACAATACTGCGCCTGTAATTGGTTGCTATCAAAATATACATCCGTGTCACCATAAAAAAACCACGCTGTCTGCCCTTGTGTCTCACAGGTATACCAAAAAAACAACCTAAACCCATTGCCATCGAGTCGACTCTGGCTCATAGCGACCCTATAGGACAGAGTAGAACTGCCCCATAGAGTTTCCAAGGAGCAGCTGGTGGATTCCAACTGCCGACCTTTTGGTTAGCAGCCATAGCACTTAACCACTATGCCACCAGGGTTTCCCTTACAGGTGTAAAAAGTCGCAAATATTTACACCCTTGTTACATTCCTTACATGCAACACTGGGGTCCAGAGAGGCCCCCATTGCAGAGGCGGGGGTCGCTGCTCCTGCCAGAACGCAAGCACAGGCGGAGCCTGCGCAGCAGGGCAGGGGCAGGTCCGAGGGGCGTGTAGACAGTTAAGACCAGGGCCTCCGACCCACCATCTGGGTCCCAGCACTGGAGGCCGACAGAAAACAGGAACAACTTTGGTCCACAATTTGCAGGGAAAAAAGAAAACCTGAAGAAGTGTAGGAGCGCTTGTACCTCTAGGCAAATGACAATTTAGGTGTGGAATAAGGCCGCGGAGACCCTGGCTGGGAGAACACTGTTCCCGCCCAGGCTGCTGCTTGGGATCGGGATTCCTGCCTGCGACGTCCCTCAGTTACGAAGAATCAAAGTGCAGAATACAAGGTAATACCACGAGGAGGAAGCTTAGATACACTTATACCATCTTTATCTTGCTAAAAAAAAAGTTACTTAAAACTATTTCTTTTGCATGTAAATGAAAAGAGATTAGAATATTTGGTCAGCTGGAAGTATTGCTAGGCACAGCTGTCTGCAGCTGCAAGTATCATATAAGAGGGGCGGATGCGCCGGCGCCGCGGCCTCCGCTTCTCAGCCGCGGAGGGGCACCTTGCAGATGGGGATCTGTGGCACCGAGGCGGGGGCGGCCGCATGGGGGGATCACTTCACTTGATTAATCCGGCGGGCGGGCGGGGGCGCTCCTAGACTCCCAGGGGTCAGCGCATGATTGACGTGGAGCCTGCGGCCCTCCCCTCACACCCCAACACCAGCCAGGCATCCCCCCCGACGCAGGGTTTTAAGGCACAAGGAAGCCGTCTCCTGGTTGAAGCCCGCCCTGGCCCAGTCCACGAGGCCGCGGTGGCGGCAGGTCAGGCTCGAGAAGGCATCGCTGTGAGACCTGAGGGTGGGCGCCGCGGCAGTGGGACCCTCCACTCGCGACAGGCACCGCAAGGTTAGAAGGTGGATTAGATTTAATTTTTTAAAAAACAGGTAAACTGATTTCTCTTTAAAAAAATAAAACCTCTGGTCATAAGGTCACTTCAGCTGCGTTTTAAAGTGGCTTCTCTGGAATGATGGAAGTCGTCGCGGGTGCCAGGCGGGCGGCTCCGCAGCCCGGCGTGCCCTGGGTGGTGCACTTGGAGAAGGACACCCGCGGGTGGTGGTTCTCGCTGAGGTCGTGGTTGTGCAGGCCGATGAGGGCCTGGATGGCCTCCACCACTGAGCCCATCTGGATCAGTGCCCTCTTGCGGTCCTTCTGGAAGAACTTGAACCCTTTGACCGTCCTTTCTTTACTTGAGAAGAGAATCTTGAGGTCATCTTCGGATATCGAAGGCGGGATGTTGGAGAGGTGCAGGGTGGCTGCGGGCTGGGAAGATTTTCTGGAAGTTCTTAGAGCCGCGCTTCTTGAGGCAGTGCAGGGGCAAGTTGCTGCAGTCCTTGGTGAGGCCCTGGTCCTCCTGGCCCTCACCGGGCAGCCGCACGTTCTGGTGCTTGGACAGCGTGATGTCCACCAGCTTCTCATGCAGCTTGTGCCCGCTGAGGTGGCTCATGGCCGGTTAGGCCTGGCTTCTGCTGGCCATCTGCACTAGGGCTTTCTTCTTGTTGAACAGGACCTTCACACGCCGCACATCCCCACACACACCGAAAAGAATAAAGAGGCTTTGGGGTGTGGCTCTTTCTGAGGTGAGGTTGCTGACCAGGAGGACGGAGTTATCCCGCCCTGGCCAGGCCGGGGATGGCTATCCGACCTGCCGTCGCTGCCGCCGCTGCCGCCAAGGGGATGGCCAGAGGGGCCCGGGCGCAGTGGACATTTGGAACCGAGAGGCCTGCGGCTTGAGGAATGGCAAAGATGGGAGGGAAACCAGCTCCTGCCTATGGGGAGAAGCTGAGATTATACCAGGTGCACTAAAGGTGA